CCGAAGCTTTACGAAGCAACGGCAAAATCGTGGCTCGCGGCTAATCTACGGCAAACTTCCCACGCTACAGCAATGCGAACGAATAATTACCTTTCCGGCAATGTCTGGGCAGTGGGGGCTTCTCCAAATTTACGAATTTACCCGACAGGTTAAGTGGAAAAGGCTCTTCTCTCTCGGCGCTCTTCACTGGCCCACGAATCCTCTCCTCCCGTACGAAGTCGCCGGCAGATATCGCGACTCGAGGCGTCCGGTGCGCGTGCTGTTCGCGCATCGACTGCTAACGAACTTGACGACGACGTCGGGCGTCCTCCCCTCCCCTCGCACACCACCACCACGCCAAAAACCGTCTCTGCCCACACCGCTCCTCACCCACATCCTAGCGGAGGGCTTCCTCCGCCGCCGCCTATTCTCGGCACTCGAACGCCACCGTCGCTGTCGCTGCCGCTGCCGCTGCCGCTGCCGCTGCCGCCGCCACCGCCACCGCCACCGCCACCGCCACCGCTACCGTCGCTACCTCTGCCGCCGCTGCCGCCGCTGCCGCCGCTACCGCCGCCGTCGTCGTCGCGCTCGCACTTTTTACTGCGACGAGGATGTGAGTTATGATGGGAAGGAGGCCAGGCCGGGGCTGGGGAGGAAAAAGCCTGGCTTAACCCTTTTCGGCCGACGGATTTTGTGACTTTTGTGCCGAGTCGAGAGCCGAGAAAGACAAGACCCGTTTTGGGAGCGCGTGGCTGCAAAGGTGAGGGATTACGACTGTCCTATCACGGCGATTCGAGAGTCCGTGTGTTGCTGACGACTCGAGTACACTTTCGCCCAATCACCAAATGAAATATCCTCCGTGAAATATCAAAATAGTTTTAATAATTTTCACAATGCTGACGGCTCAGTTACGCTTTGGTACGTGGAATTTATTCGGAGGCTTATCTATTCTGCTACGATTACTCGAAGTCTCTCTCACTTTATTCCATATTCATATCCACCGACTAAAGAACTATCCGAGAAAACAACTATCGGCTTATGCAAACGAAGTTTGACGATCTCTAGACAACTGTGAATTTAAAAACTATTAAAAAAAATAGAACGTACAGCTGCGCCAATGTGCACTATAAAGCCGGAGAAAAGTACAAGCATAAAATCCAATTATAACTAATTAACATTTACAATCTACTCAATAATGATAGAGCATCTAAATATAAAGTTGATCTGTCCTCTATGGCTTTTATGAATTAACCCAAATTGGCCTCGTCTTTTGTAAAATTATATAAATATATTGCGGCGATTCGTTTAATTCTATTTACACGCGTGTGTATGGACGCGTGGATGTAGAACGATCGATCCGATAGAAAAAGTTTCAAATATTGATAAGAAAAATATGATACTTTCAGATGAAAAAAAAAGAAATAAAGATGATAATGAAATCTTTTAAACAATTCTATAAAAAAAATATTAAAAAAAAAATTTTTTTTTTTTTACTTTGTTTTTTATATGATGTTATTAATTGTAAAGACTATTTAATTTTTTAAATAAACAATCAGAAAATTAATTTTCAAAATCGTTTAACGGCTTTTTATGTAGATTGTCCAATTGAAATTATTGACCTCCATAGTTTGGTAAATTAAAAAATGTAAAATAAAACAACTAATTTATATATATATATATATATATATATATATAAACATTTATTATATATAATCAGACTTTAACAATATTCTTTTGTATATTAAACATTTCAAATACGTTCGTTCAAACAATTTATTTTTAAATAAAACGATCGTTCGATTAAATTTACTTAGTGTTTAATATTAAATTACATGTACATTGAACTACAATTTTCTTTTTAAATAAAATATTTAATGAATAATAAAATCGATTATGAAAAATTTATTTTATATTTCATTTCAAGTTTAATATCAAATAAACGGAATTATCTAAATATAGACTTACAAATTATATAAATATTGTCTTACAAATTATTTAATATACATATGATAAAAGACAATGTATATAGTACAAGAATCGTACGTATTTGCAATGCAAATCTTATAGTTAATTTTAGAAAATTTTTAGAAAATTAATTTGTATTTTTCTTACTTTATTGTATTTAACGCAATTAGTACAATCGATAAATGTAGAGATTTATATTTCCAATCGTACACCCTATATTTCTAATAATCGTCTAAATTATCTTTTTTATATTCCAGTATCAGGAAAACAACATAATGCTAATTAATATGAATGATACAATAAAATGATAAAAATGTATGTTTAATCTTTGGTCTTAATAATGAAAATATAGCTACACAGAATATACATTTGATCCATCTAAGGAATCTAATAAATCGCGTGACACAGATATTAAGTACACACATTTTAAATCATTTTAGCTTTCAAAATTACAAATTATACAAAATTTAATTATGAAACTAAAATATGTGTAAGGAAATTGCGAATTAAGTATTTTTCCGACGGAGATTTTTTGCATAAAATATTTCCTAAATTATGTATTATTACAATTCTACACTATTATATAATATATATATTTTTTAATTTTATAGCTTAAATTTTGTTTTAATATGATAATATAAGATTTAACGTCTTAAGATGGACTATAACATTGATTGGCATAAATTACTTGAACATTATTCGTAATACTATAGAAAATACATACTATTTATTATTAAAATGACATTCAAATTAAGGCAATTATTTAATACAATTTGAAATTGTTTTTTAATAAGAATATTTTTTCCAAAATTCAATTATTGTTTAACATACTATTTTCATACTATATATAAATATATGTTTGTGTGTGTGTGTGTGTGAGATATTATTTGATTCGTGATTGAACATAATATCATTTCATCTGTTGATGTTCCAATGAATTATTAGAATAAAATTTCGAAATTTATCTCGACCTAAGTACGTGCGACAGATTCTTTTGAGTTAAAAATTACAACAGTTTTTCTGAGTTTGAAACGAATCTTCAGCTATAAGATGATTGATCAATTGAAAGTACACCGGAAGCACTTTAACCAAATTAAAGGTTTTGATAAAATCATTCGGATAACAACTCTTCAGCTAATTTTGCAATTTAAAACAGCTCTGAGTCTATTATTAATCAAAATCTAATCAAATTAAAAAACAAGTTGTTATCGTAAGAAAATAGACGTATTCGTTTACCAATTTAAGTACCTTAAAACCAATGCTTATATTGACAATTAATACGTAAATTATATTTTATTATCATAAATTTTAATAGATATAATTTAGTAATTAATAATTTAATAAAAGAAAATTGAATAAGTAGTGTTGTCTATTAATTTGACAAATGTTTGTCTGCTGAATAGAAATTATATATATATATATATATATATATATATATATATGCACATATATAGCAAAATCGATAAGAATTAATCGTAGAAACTCGGCAATGGAATGATAAATAAAGCTAATATAAATATAAACAATTGTGATCCTTACTTTTATAAGGCTTCGTACAAATTTTAATTAAATTTATTATTATATGTAATTCTCAAGATTTTACTCAATAACACACAAATAACATTGAGGTTAGTGTTTGGCTCGAAACATTTTCAACATTATTAAGGATAGATAGACTGATGATGCTGTTGGTTAATAAAATTTAATAAAAGTGCAGACAAAATTTGTAAATTCATTAATAAAAGCGTTTTATATTAACCGTACAGATTTTATCGCCAAATAACTCATTAAAACGAATTGCTTTATCATCATATCACATATTCGATGAGATAATTAAGTCCTTTTTTAAAACTAGAGGCTCTATTTCATCATTCGTAAGGAAGAAAGATTATGGCTAAGGACCAAGTATCGTTGGGCTAAGTGAACGCGATATTTATAAAATTCTCCCATGCATCCTATTAAATTTAAAAAGTTATTCTCTCCCATTGTCCACCGGTCTCGCTTTCAATTCCCCCGACTCAACTCCCAATTTCTTCTTCGTCTCTCAGCCTCGGATTCGTCTCGATTCCGCTTGCCGTCCTTTCCTCTACGTGCTCCTCTCTGTGTCTCTCCCCATCTGCCGCAAATACGTGGCCGCTGCTTCCTTGCTGCGATGATGTCCGCCCCATCTCCTCGCTCTCCCGAACTCGACTTTCTCCCCTCTGCCCCTCGCAGGGTCCCATAATCACCGCCTCACGCTCACTCGACCGCTACTACTACTACCCGTCACTTCCCTTTTTAGCTGCTGCATTTCCCAGGCGATGTACGTGCTTTTCCGGCTCCGTTGCGCTCAAACTTCCAACTTCTTCTCGCTTTTTCCGTAACGAACGCGACCAATCTATTTCACTCTCATCGTAAACAACATTGTCCCCTTCCTTTGCCTTGTAATTATGGGTGACGCATAATTTTTTCATTGGGAAGACTTTATTACCCATAATTCACGTGATTTTAATATATCATTGTGCAAATATCGTTTTCACATTACTTAATCCAAGGCTGCCTTATCATTATATTCATTATTTTAAATGCGGCACATATAGATCTAGCAATCTTCTCCACCACCACCACCACCACCACCACCACCACCACCACCTCCCGTAACAGCAGTATTCTTCGATTAAGCTCTTTTAAGCTTTTAAGGCTCTTTATCCGCCAATTATTAATAACTAATAATTAAGCTTTTGAGAGTGCGATAAAGCTTGGACCTTGAACTCTCGCCAGTTTGCGCAAAACAAATCAATAAGAAAAATCTGCACCGACCCAATGAAATGTCCAATATTCCCTCAGACCTCACCACTGAGAAAACTTATAGGACAAAACTGATTGTGTATGTTTTACTGACATTCAAAGATAAAGATATCGTACATCTAGCGTAACTCGACTACTCTCGTTCTTTTTACAATGAACGTCTTTTCAGATAAACTTGGAATGAAACTAATTATACCCAACAGTTTAATAAACGATTCTCTGCTTATCTATAATTGTTAGCTAAAATTGACAATCCATTAACAACATTTCCAATAATATGAAAATAACATAAGAATATTATATACTTATCATATTAAAGTTCACTTTACTCATTAAAAAAAAAAAAAAAAAAAAAAAAAAAAAAATCAATCTCAATAATTTATTAAAAAATATATTGTTTTATTCTCTTTAAAATTTATAGATTTTTCTGGTTAAAAATCATTGTTTTCGATCTACAATTACTACCTTATTATTATGCATTAGCATAACTTTGTAGGCAAAACTTAATGTCTTACCGCGGGCCTCCGCAATACGCAGTAA